CTATCAGGGGGGGCGGAGTGGGTGTGGCGGTGGTGGAGGAGGAGGAAGAAGAAGAGTTTATTTCTGTCATGTGCGGCTATAAGGTTGGGTTGCAGCGTGTCTATGTCTAGTCAGTGTCTAGGTGAGATGCGATTGCGCTGGTCATCACTTCCACTTCCTCCTGCACGTCGTCGTGGTTGTTTAGGCCGACCAAGGATTAGGAAGTTTGCACTGAAGTGGGTGGATGGGTTGTTACATACACGCGCAGTGCTTGTTTTCTTTTTTTTTCTGGCAGTGAATTTTGTCCCGGCGGCGGTGATGACGTCGAGCACTCATTAATTACATCATTATTTTTCTTGTTGTAGAAAACGGAGTTCCCAAAGAGACAGCTCCAGTCCCAATCATCATCAAAGCGTCTAAGGATAGGAAACGATTCAATCAGAAGGTATGTTCAAGTTTGTGTAGTACTAAGGCTTCAAAGCGATGCTTCAACTGTTTGGTGTTGTGCACTCGATTTCATAGAAAACTTTGTTGCAAATTTATAATTTGCATACATCCAAGAACTTTGACTTACTGGGAGCTGTCTGGTATTATTATTTCTATGTAACATAGGGGAGATAGTCTACATAGACATTTTAAGTGCTGCACCCGAGTGCTGTGGTGTGAGCTCTCCACAAACACTGTAGTCAACTAACTAGGTCCTTTGCTTGAACTGTGTACATTATTTGAGAGCTTTCAAAACCTGTTCCTTCTATGGTTTTCCCCTTTTCTGTGTTCAGAAAACAGTTGGTTTTCTCAAAAACATTTACTACTTCATTTTTAGGTGGTTCCAATTACTTGGGTCTTGGGTTTAAATTACTTAGTATTTAATCCAGCCTGGCTTCAGTTGCATAATTAGTGGACCAACCGTGTGGTTTTTTTGTTGTTTTTTTGTTTTTTGCATGTCACTAAAGGCACTGCATGTTCATGTGTGGTACTTGTATATTCCAGGCAAGCAACTTTAATGATATCGAGGACTGGCCTACTCTAGGGACTGTGAATGTAGAGGTTTGTATTGCAATTTTTTTTCTTCAAATTTTTTCATTTTATTTTTTTTAAATCCCTGGCCTGCTATTCCTATTTTAAGTGGCTTATTACACATTTCATTTCATTTTTCATTCAACTTAATTGTGTGTTGGGCCTTGAATTTTAAAAGCAAGGAATACTGAACAATCAACTTGCTTTTTAAGTGATATTTTATATCTGTCTAAAAATTGCATTTCTTTGGCAGCCAAAACCTGTTCCTGTTAGCAATGGATATGGTAAAGAAAATAAATCCAGCTCTAATCAAGTCAAAAAATCTGAAGAGCCTTCTTTAAACAACAACAAATCAAAACGGGACTTCAAGACTGACTCTTTCAAAGACAACTCAAAGAAAATGGTTTCATCAAAGGACGACCCTTCGGCCGACAAGAAAAAGAAAAGTGTGTACTGTGCAATGTATTTCATAATTTTCACTTCATTGATTCTCTTATCGTGACGGAATGTTTTACCTGTCTTGTTTAGTGGCAAAGCAAAAGTGGGTACCTCTCGAAATAGATATCACTAAAACTCGAGGGAAGAGGGATTGGTACCACTCTGAAAAGGGGGAGGAAGGTGAGTGTCGACTTAAAAAAATTAAATAATTAATCATGTGGTAATCCTCGACGGCTTGAAGTGTAAACGAGCAGTGACATCTCTCTCCGCAGGCGAGTACTACGAGAACGGTGAGAATGGCAACTGGCGCAGTGACGAGGACCGTGCGCGCGGCCCAGGGGGTGTGCACCGCTCCGGCCGTGGCGGAAACGCGCGCTTTGGCGGGCGTGGCGCGCGCGGCGGCTCGCGGGGCGCCGGCCGCGGCCGCGGCGGTATGCACCGTGGGGGCGCCGACTTCTTCGCCCAGGCCAAGTTCAACGGGCTGGGCGACATGCCGTTCGCCATGCCGTACATGGGCGCCTTCTACTTTGACAACACGTCGTTTGGCAACATGGATGGGCCCACACTGCAGGAATACGTGAAGAAGCAAATGTGAGCAGATGGGCCCTCATTATCCGTGATGGGTGTGCTGTGTGCTTGACTGTTGTCTAATTGTGTGTCCTTTTCTTTTCTTTTGCAGCGAGTACTACTTCAGCGAAGAAAATCTCATGAAAGACTTCTTCCTGAGGAGGAAAATGGATTCGGAAGGATATTTACCCGTGACTTTAATAGCATCTTTCCACAGGCTGCAGGCCTTAACTACAGACCTCTCCATGATTCTGACTGCTGTGCGCACCTCAGACAAATTAGAGCTGTTCAATGGTTTCAAGGTACAGGATCCTCATAATTTTTATTTTATTTTCTCTACCATTAATTTCAAACAAATGTTTCTTCACTTAGTATCTTTCTTTTTCTCTATCTCTAATTTCTTTCACTTTCTACAGGTTCGGACCAAAGAAGACCCTCTAAGATGGCCACTTCCAGATGCCGTGGGATCCAACTCAATGACTCCCATACCTTCATCTCATGCGGCTCCTGTTCAGCCTGGACCAGTCCAAGCCTCATCTGGTGTAGCCCCCGTCTTACCCCTGCACAACCTACCACCTCCTCCTCTCCCTCGAAACTTTCGACCTCTTCCTCCAAATGCCATTCCACCACCAGATCTTACCAGGACTGACGAAAATCTGAACCCTGAGGTTCCAGCCTTTATCCCAAATTCTAGTGATAAGCCCTCACAACAGATTGAAAAAACGTCTAAGCCTCTTGGTAAGGGTGCCTCAGTGGGGAAAAAGGAATCAGATTCCAGCTCAGCTTCCAAGAAAGTAGCCCACACTGAGAGTGATAAGAAAACTATTACTGTTGAAGGTCAGTGCAATTGTTGAACTTTGTTTTAGTTATGTTTTTTTAAATATTTAATTAGATTAATAAAGTAACCTTTTTATTCCAACTTGCAGAGAGAGAGCTGATTGAAAAGTGTCTAACACCTAACCGAAATGCTATTCCTAAAGTAACAGAGGTAGCTGAGCCTTTGCTTCAGCTTTTCCGTAGCACTGCTGCAAAAATTGATAACAATGAATTATGGCAAGAGGTATAACTTTTTGTTTTTTATAGTGTTAATATATTAATTTTATTTTTATCTAGGATGTAACCACCTTTTTGCAATTATTATTACCCCTACAGGTCAAACGAAAAGTCAAATTTCCACCCAAGAAAGATGATGAAATCCGTGTTAAAGACAAAGAGACCGATAGTAAAAAGCCACAAGAAACCAAGCCAGAAGATGATCGAGAAGAGCTCGACTTCCAGTTTGATGAAGAGCTAGATAATATGTCACTGGGCACCCATCGTACAAACAAATTTTCAGAATGGTGAGTCTTGTATTTTTAGCTTAGATACAGAAACATAATTTGCCTAAAAGTGCGTCATAACCTTTTTTTAAATCTTTGTCTACAGGTCAGAGGATGAAGATGATTATGAAATATCTGATCATGAAATCAATAAACTCCTAATTGTTACACAAGCCTCCTCTCATCTACCTGCACGCTATTCGAAACATGAGGGATATGATCGCACTGGGGATTATACATCTCGTGTGAAAATGTCACAAGATTTAGAACATGCAATCAATGACGGACTTGCTTACTATGAAGATGAACTGAATGTTCAAGGTTGGATACCTCCCAGTGGGTCCTATAAGACTGTGAATGTCATTACTAAGGAAGCTTTTGATAAAATGGCTTCTGCATCTAAGAACGCCGATCCAGAAATCCCACCACCACCTCCATCATCACTGGTAAATTTTATTCTTGCTGGAAATGAGTGCCTCCTAATTTCTTGTTTCATTTAATAAATTCTAATTCGTACTTTTAGGTTGTCTCAAAGCTGTCTGCTGATGCTCCTGAATTCCAAATGTCTGCTCACCAAAATCGCAAGGATTCAAACAAAAAGAATCACCAGAGGTTTTACGCTGTTGTCAAAGAAGACAAGGCTCCTAGCAAAGGCAAGAAATACAAGACACGGTATTCCAGTAATCCACCTGTGGAACACCATGTGGGGTGGATCATGGATGTTAGGGAGCATCGCCCTAGAACTGCTTCCATGAGGTAAAACAAAGGCACTTGACACACACTACCCTTCGTCACCTGTGCTTAATCATTTTTCTAACGCTCTTGTTCCTTCTGTAGCAGTAGCACTGGAACTAGCCCAAGTGAGGGTCATTTGTCAAGCAGTGTTGGCAGCATTCCTTCATCTTTGCCATCATTCCAACATCCTTCACATGCCCTGCTAAAGGAAAACAATTTCACTCAACAGGCATACCACAAGTATCATAGTAGATGCTTGAAGGGTGAGCAAAACTTCTCAGTCCTTTCCTTTTGTAAAATTCTTGTTTAATTTTTCAATTGAAGACAAATATGACTGACTTTTGTTTCTTTTTGCAGATCGAGCAAAGCTTGGCATTGGCCAGTCCCAAGAAATGAATACATTGTTCCGTTTCTGGTCATTTTTCCTTAGGGAAAATTTCAACAGAAAAATGTATGATGAATTCAGAACTGTTGCTTTGGAAGACGCTAATGAAGGATTTAGGTATACCATTTTGTGTTTTGCATGTGCTTAAAGATGGAGTTATTAGTTTTACTTTAGTTGCATCACATTAACATCGTTTAATGTGTTGTACAGGTATGGATTGGAATGCCTCTTCCGGTTCTACAGCTATGGTTTGGAGAAGCGCTTCAAACCGAATTTATATCAAGACTTCCAAGAGGAGACAGTTAGGGACTATGAAAGTGGTATGCATTTTGTTTTTTTACATGCAATATTGTCTATGTATTTGGCCACAGATAACACAATTATCTTTCCAGGTCAATATTACGGATTAGAAAAGTTTTGGGCTTTCTTGAAATACTACAAGCACAGCAAGAAGCTAGTAGTAGAGCCGAAACTGAAAGAAATTGTCGCCAAGTTCAAAACTATTGATGACTTTAGAACTTTAGAGGTACAGTACTTGTGCAAACTTGTTGACATTGATGTTTCGGTCTGCCTTGCATTGACTAAAAGTGTGCCGTCTCCCATTTTTTACAGCCGGCAGAGGAGAATGAGCGAATCTTAAACTTGAAGTCGCGCGGCATCGGCCGACGCAACCGCAGTGCTTCCGAGAGCTGCAGCTACGACGCTCCCTCCGCCAACAGCACCGCGCAGCACGTGCCCAAGCGAGTGCGCCGCCTCTCCGGCAGCCAGGTGCCGTTCTCGAACATGAACCGCCGACGCACCAACTCGTTCGGCTCGGGCCGCATCGTGAACCCCGGCGCCGCTGGCGCGCCCGCCGGCTCTGGCCCCGCGCGCCGGCGGAGGCTCAACTCGTACGACGACAGCCAGTCGAACGACGTCGAGAACAAGAACAACCCGGTAGTGAGCAAAGCGAGGGTAAACTTCAAGCTTGGTGATGCCGACTCGAAACCAAAGGCGAGGAGTGCGAGTAAAAGCCCGTTGCGCCCGGCTCTAAAGTCGGCAAATAAGGGTACGGTGAAGAATTAAGAGTGCCAGCGTGATTTTGTTACAAGAGTTTTCTGAGACGCCAGGGTTCTTTTCCTTTTAAAAAAAAATAATGATTGTAAATTTAAAACATCTGTTGACGCTTAAACTGACAGTTAAGTTTAATTTTAACTTGTTACTTCATTTATCTGTCTTGCTTATTCTTTTCTTTACCCTTATAATTGATTTCATTAGATGTCATTGGTTGCTGAAGTATGTCTACATCTATTACTACACTGGAGTCACTGGAGTTTATTTTCTGTGAGTGGTTTTTGCTCTGTGTTTGTACATCTAGTTGGCTGTGTAGCAGTTATCAAGTATGATGTGTTCTTGACTTACAAGTTCATTTCCAAGTTTACTGGAAATTAATCAAAATTCCCACACTGCATGCAAGTCATGTTAAATGCAGGTTGGGGTCTGATCAGTTCAGTATGAATCTGTTCCTGTTATGTTTTCCTTTTACCTTGTAAGATTTTTTTTCTTTTTTTCATTGAACATGATCTGTCATACAACAGCTCAGGGACTTGTTTAAAATCCAAGTAACTCTTGTATTATTTTTATTTCATTTTTATTTCCTTGATTACTTGTGACTTTTCAAAAGAGAAATTTAATTTGTCTTCTTCAGAAATCTGATATATTTTGTCTTATCCATTTGAGAATTAAAGGCTGTGAGGGTCGATTTGTGCCAAGAAAATCTGAGTTTTGGAAAAATTATTTTCTTTACGTTAGAATTTTGTACTGTATTTTACTGTTTTAAATTTAATGACAACCGTAGTCATCCATACATTTGTTATAAATCTTGAAAATCAGCTTACTTACCAATTTGAAGTATTGAATTGTAAATATACAGGAATGTTATAGTGACCCAATCAATATGGCGTGGATATTAAGCAATGTAGTCATTTTTTGTTGTATTTTCTTTTCCAATATTTCCTTCCTAAAACAATTGTTTTCCACTTGAATCTACAATGTCCGTACTTAATTGTCAATGTCGCTGCTAAATCCAACATTGAATCCACTGTTTTGTGCCACGTGTGTGTGTGTGTGTATTTGTTTGTGGAATTTTAATGTGGTCTACTATTGAAATTGGGTCATATCTTTAACGTATGGTTAATTATTCCTAGTCCAGTGTACATATTGTAAAAATGTGTACTGTGCTCGAGGAAGGAGTAGGATGAGATCTTAGTCATAAATCAGTACGAAATTAGACTGTACAGAAGAAAGATTCTTCTGCAATTGGTATTCAAAACGTCTCTGCTATCAGTGAGGACATTTTAGTCGCAGTAGATAATGTAAACTACAGTATCTTCTCATGAGCTGACTATCATTTAAGCTGCTTTGTTTGCCTCTACTTGCTTTTGTAAAGAAAGCAAAGAATGGGGTTTGTGGTAAGGTTGGAATTTCTTTGTATTTCCATCAAATTGTTCTCTTGGTTTCGTGTGACCAATTGTTGAAAATGCTTTCTATTTGTAGTAATTTAATTGACAAAAGATATCATTTGTCAACATGTCAGGTATGTGTAAATTTTAACTTTGTGACTTGACATTTTAAGCTACCTTGTGTATTCCTTCACTGTAAGAGCATGATGATGATAACCCAAGTAATTTCAAATGGTATTTTTTTGTTATTGCTCTTGATGTGCTCTTGTTTCACAAATGAAACTTTAAAAATGTAATTAGTTTTTTATCAGAGACCTGCATTGGGCGGACTCTTTGAAGTCTGTCAAGCTAATGTAGTCGGTGTTGCGTGTTTCTCTTACCTTCTGCCACCTCTTCTGGAGCTTTCCGCCCATTGCAGATCTCTGTTTTGTATTTAACTTATGTAGATCAAACTGTGTTAAACGGTAAGTTCGTTAATTTAAAAAATAAAAACAAAAAAAAACTATAATTTTGTAATGATGCAATTATTGCTTGCTGCAGGGAACATTTTGTTTTATCAGCATCCGATTTGTGGATGTTGGCAGCAATTTTTCTGATGTCTCTTATAGCCACGGCTCAGCAAATTTTGTACTGATAAGTTATGGAGATAAATCTTCTAAATAATTGTGCAAAGTTTGCTCATCTGTGGCCCTGTTAATGTTTTTAGTTAGATTAGTGTGTTGGTGGTTAGGAAGACATCGGTGGTGTATCTCTATAGACAGATGCAAAGAGTTCTATTACGCTTGTGTGGACTTGTCGTACATGCTGTGAGGGTTGTCATTAGTACAGCAAGTACTTCTGTTGTCAATTTCTTCACTTTACTCTCGGTGTTCATATTGCTCAGAAAATATTGTGTAATTTGTAACTATACTTTAAGTCTAAATTTTATTGATCAGCACAATGACATGTTTTTTTGTTCTCTGGGAGAATTGTTATGTTTAAGTGAGGACTGCCCACAGTCTACCTTTTGTATCACTGCTACCTATTTCTATCAGTTATGAACTTTACTTTTATGGGTTGACTGTGTACCTCTGAATCATTTATTTACCTACTTTGACTGACTTATTCTCAATGGCTAATTTGTCTCCTAATAAGGGGCACATTTTCAGCAATTTCTATCTCAATGGCTTTTTGAAAAACATCAGCACACATAATATTAAAATAGAAATAAAATGAGAGCAAATTTCTTTTCAAAGGCTCAGCTGTATCTCATCAAAAAGTTGACAGACTATTGGAATTTCTTGAACACCTGTTAGGTGGTAGGTAAAATATTAATTTTTGTTACATTTGGCTGTGGATATTAGTTTAAATATTAGAGCTGATGCTCACTGTACAAACTTGTTTTAAATGCAGATGGCACCGCAAAACTTGAGTCAAATATTTTCTTCTTAGGACCTGGATATGTTTTGCAGTATTTCCTCCTTAACTTATTTTGGATGAATATTTTATCCTGTGGGCTGTCCTATGATTTTCATCAATTTCATTGTGTGGATGAAATCCATTTATAGTTTAAAATCAAATTGTAATTATATTAAAGTAGCCGGCGAGTTTTCACCAATGTGTAGCCTCACCAAAGCTACTGTTTGACTTTTCTTGACCAATTAGTCATTAGAATCACATCATGCATAATAGCTTACCTCGCCTATGTTAAAATTTATACTGCTTAGGACCAATCCATTTCAAAGTTTGTTGTCATTTATATCTACTATAAAAAAAAATAGCTTAAGGATAGTAAAGTTCAAAACCATATGGTTGTAGCCA